AGCAGAACGGGCTCTCAGGCCTGCGGCTGAAGGCACAGCACGGCTTCTTGCAACCAAGTGCCCTGGGCAGCACCCAGGAGGGTCAAAAAAGGAAGCTTCAAGGACAGCAGCTGCGTGGCCCTCCTACAGCAAGCCCTGGCAGGGCAGATGAAATGCAGCAGTTCGCTAGGCTGCATCACTTTCAGCACCTGACTGTATGCTCGCTCCCTGGGTAGTTCGACAGCCTCATTTGTTGCAGCTCCAGCCAGAAGACAGGCTTTGCCCTTCCCCAGGCTCATGGCCAAAGTCAAGGTAGGCCCTCTGCATCCTCCACCAGCACGGGGGAGGGGGTGCTAGCAGCATTTTGTCATCAGAACCTTCTCTTTCATCCCATTTATTTGTGCAAGAGCAGCTAGACTCTCTGCCCTTCCTTTACAGCACAGGGAAGGGGTTTCTCCTCTCTCTCCTAAGCTTCTACCTCAACCAGGGACAGGCAGAGGAAAGCCAACGCCACATGCAGCTTTGTCCACAGCTGCCAGGAACCAGTACGGAGAACTGCTCTCCCTTCCACCAGCACGCCAGCTGTCAGTGCGAGCGTCTTCTGCCAAAAGGGGCTGCTGTCTTCGCTCGTAGTCGGGAAGGGCAAACCCTTCTCTTAAGCTGATGTCAGAGCTGGAAAAACCCTGCCGTGATCCAGGAACAATTTCATATTGCTCCAACAGTCCCTTGGGGAACTGCCCCCAGCCCCACAGACGGCTTTTGTTTTGCAGTTCTTCTTCCATCTTGCCTCCTTTCTCCCTCTGCAACCCTTAACGGCCTTTTTCCCACTTTCATGATTTACAACACTCCGGTCACATTAGGGAAAAACCAAACTGGCTCTACACTTGAGCTTTAAGAGCCTGTCCCACTTTTTCCTCTTGGCCATCATGCCTTTTAGCAAATACTGGGATTTCCTTGCTGTCTGCCACAGTTCTGTTGCTAGACCACAAAAAGCATGATTTCCAGCCCTGAAAACCTCCTCTTTGCTGGGAAGAGCCAATCCTGTGCCAGAAAGGGTTTGAGGACAGTAGAATTAGCAGCCAGAGAAGCCTCAATTCAGTACCACCAGGGACAGGCCCAGCTCCCATTCTCTCTTTTCTCTCGCCATCAGACAACAGGAGGCTTCTCACCCTGCACTAGGGACGCTGCTGATGCCCGAGGCCTTGCTCCGGAGCTGCCGCTCGCCCCCTCAAACACACTCCCACCTCGCAGTCATTGCCCAGTTTTATTTCATTTAAAATCCGCTGTGTTAAATATTTTAGTTACAAGTTCCGTGTAGAGGGTAATAGACTCTGCAGGCACTAGCAACCCCCTCACTCCCCCATACATGTGTGCGCTATCAGATTAAGGACTGCCCCCCTCCCCCCCAAACCAGCAGCCTTGGGCTGGGATATACATTACACTTCAGACCTGGCCCTCGCCAGCTGTCTCTCTGCTGGTAGCAGGCCAAGCCCTCGCACACAGGAAGCCAGCAGTCGGATCCACCGTCAGTGAGCCGTGACTCAAGGACAGCTGCTGGGGGCTGGGTCTTACCCCCGTGTCGGGCATGTGATGGTGAAAGGGGCTGTCCCCCACCAACAGTGCTGCCTCCACAGAGGTCACGGGCTCTGGCCACCCGGACACGAATGTTCACGCCACAGTGACCAGGCTGGAGAGAGGCAAACGGTCTCCAAGGGAAAGCCGGGGAGCTGCCACCGCTGTGTTCCTGTCTGTGGAGGGAGTGTAAGCAGGGCACTACCAGAGGCACGGCACCTACCTCAAGCCGCGCTCTGATCAAAACCTCTGCTGCAAGCGGCCTGGCGGTCCCCAGACTGCCCCTGCAAGGCAGATGAGTGTGAAATATTTTCAAGAAAAACAGGGACAGAACAGTAGCCTTTCCTCTCCTCTCCCTCCCAGGAACCTCAGTGCTAGGAAATAAAGCTGAACCCGCCTTGGAGCGGCAGGGAAGGGTACCCTAACACAGCAGCAGCAAGCAGTTTCTACTGGTATAGGACAAGCTAGAGGTGAGACTTTGGTGCTGCGAGGGAGAGGATGCCATACAGACAGCTCTGGAAAGGCAGTGCCATTCAGTGGTCAGCCCACTGCATAGCAATCCTCTTGAGAAACTGAACTTTTGTTAAACAGAACAGGAAAAGGAGGTAGGAGCTATCCCCGCAATTCCCTCCGGGACAGCTCTGATCACAGCGGAGGGAGGGAGACTGGAATGACCCCTGCCAGTTCCTGAATGCCCGACATCGCTCCTGCTGGTGCTGCGGCCCTGCCCTCGGTGGGTTGCATGGGGGGTGGCTGCTCTACAGGTCAAGCAGCAGCACACGGGGATCCTCCACCGCTGCCTTGATCTTGCGCAGGAAAGTCACTGCCTCTCTGCCGTCAATCAGCCGGTGATCATACGTCAGCGCCACGTACATCATGGGCCGCACCTCGATCTGAAGGGGAGGAATAAGACAGGCATTAGTGAGCTCAGCCCTTCCGCCTGCACGATTCCCTCCCGTGAATTCAGGGAAGACCTGGCTTCTTCCTGTCCTGGATCCATGGCTCAGGCCCTCCTGGATGTGTCCTGCCTGGCAGGATTACCCACCCAGGCACTGACAACTACCCAGGCTAGGTCCACCCCACACAAGACTGGATCCCTTTCTGGAGCTGTTCTGTATCACAAAGACTACAGCCTCCTCCTCTCCACACCTAAGCAGATCACCCAGTTCTTGCCCTCACAGACAGGACAAGGCCCCCTGCGCAGCTCAGGCAAGTACCAGTGCCAGCAAAGCTGCCCTACGCCCAGTAGTGTCTGCTCCTCC